ATGTCCACTAACTGTGCTATAATTTGTGTAACTATAAACAGACTTCTGATTTGTTTTCCCCCTTTGATTTTACTAGGGAGATTCAGGGCTACCAGGACTGGCTGCCGTAAATGTAAGTGCTCTAGAAAACAAAAAAGAGATGCGTGTGTGTGTGTATATATATATAGATATAGATATATAAAAGGAAAGCACTCAAGCAATGGTTTCTTTTATTTGCTATCCAGATAACCTTACTGTTAAAGAAAAAAAGCCAAGTCTTTCTCTCCAGAATGCCTCTAAATATTATGTTCATCAGTAAACAATTAATATAAGATGGGGTGTTCTCTTCTGTCCAGTGGCAATTTCAGTAGATGGAAAGGTATAAACATAAACAACAAAAAAGCAGTATTTAAAATGTCTTGCAAGACTTTCCTGAAGACTCTGATAAGAACATTTTTCTTTATTTTATTTGTAACACAGTATGGTACTAGCGAGAGACTTAAACTGCTGCTTTTCAGTAAAAAGTTATATTACAAATGATTTTTTTTTCCTTAAGAGATTGTGAGTGTTTTATTACTTTCTCATTGATTAGTCATGTGTCCGATAAAGTTTTTGTGATATGGTACTATCTATCCATTATCAGGATATTGAAACTTGACATACAGGACCTGATTTTCATAAAGCTGAAGGCTGGCTTTTACGCATACAATTACAGCTATTATTACTTGTTACATTTCTGCATGCAAAGTGAGAATTTGCGTATGTACTCATATAATTGCAACACAAAGTAGATATGTAATTATACGTGCATAGAATGCATGAAAATCTTGAGCTTTGTCTTTCTGAAAATCAGGATCAGTAAGCCTCAGCTACTTCATATAGATGAGATCATCCCAAACGCTCAATTTGCAGCTCATTCCATGTAAAAAGAGAGGTAGCTGTGGGCAGGTTATTCTATCTGAGGGTTTCCTTGTTATGGAGCTTGTTTTCTCACTCCATCTGCCAGAACCTAATCTTGTTAATCTTCCAGGCATGCTGGACAGCCGATATTTTTCTTTCCTTTGTCTAAGGTTGTTAAGGAGAGAATGGGTTGAGGTAGTTGTATTTTATGGGCAGTCCTTCATAGTTGATGTGGGAAAGCACAGAAGGAGACAAGCTCTATAAATGCTTATGCCTTGGCTAGTCATCACTTCAAATGTCAGAACCAGGACCTTGAAATGAATCCAGTATTTTACAGGAAGCCAGCATGCAATGTAGAGCATAGGAACATAAGAATTTTCTAGACAGACTTCTTCATCCAGTTCATTATCTTTTCTGCCACAATAGCCAGTAGCAGATATTTTAGGTCCCTGGGAAGTATTATATTTGTTGAGTATTATATGCAGGTACTATACTATACATCGTAACATGCCACATACTAAAATTATCACATTATATTTCTGTCCTACAAAGTTGCTGCTCAATGAACAATTTCTTTGTGGCTTATCCACCATTTTTATCCAGGGATAAATTGGTTTAATATCTAGCATGTTACAGTATGTTACATGATACTCACATATACGGTGTGATAAATGTAACATCTGCCAGGAACTTTAGAGGCAGGTTGAGGAAACCATATGGGGGAAATCATAGAATAATCATCACACGAAGAGAAAGTTTCCTATTAAACTTTGTTAGTTAGGATTATCCAGTGTTGCAACACGTCACTTATTAGTGAAACTTCTTTTTAATTCAGTCTACTGGTTAATGTCATATAAATATAATGCATGTCATATCCATATAAATGTCTAGTGATTTTTTAAGACTAGCCATCATTAATATATAACTATTAAGAAAGGTTGTTTGGCTTGTGTCTTCAGTCCTAGATATAGTACTTTCTGTTATTCTAGCCTGGACATGGCAGAAGCTTGAATTCATGTACCTAAAATTCTGTTCCAAGAGGCAGAGTTGAAGCCTTCTTGGCTATTGAAGATGAAGGATTTTGAACAACTAGTGATATTTTTGTTTGTAGGTAAAAACAGAACACCAGATTGTCCATTAGTAGTTAAGCAAATGCACAGAAGGCCTTGACACAGGGTGAGTTAAAAGTTTTAACTAGTGTGGAAGAAATAAAACTTTGCATTGTGGTTGAATCGGAACTGACAGAGCCAGCTTTTCTTTATTTAGGGCTATACTGTGATCACAGGGAGAATTCCATACAGCAAGAGGAATCACCCACTTGTCTGTTTCAAAGGATTTCTCGCACTAAGTTCACAAGCATATTTATACTTAAGACAGAGAAAGAGATAAAAAATACGAAAGAATTTTTGTTTGGAGAAACAAAACAATAGTAAATTACACAGAAATTTAGGAAGATTACTTAAACAAACCATCTGTGCACAGGGTAATATATCAAGATAACCTAAGGATAACCCAAGGCATGCAGGATTTCTTATCTCAGAACATTTAACTGAAATAAGCAGTATCAGCACCTCTGGTCTCTGTCTGTTTTTCTAGTCAAATAGGTCAGAAGCCGACTAAATTTACTCCTACATTCCCTAATTTTTTTTTTCTAACAAGTTAGATATTTATAGCCATTAGAAAACTAAGCACCATTTATCTTAAATTCTACCTCGCATTTACTGACTCTTACTGCAACATGAGATCTATTACAGGTCCAACAGAACTTTCCAGGGGTGGCATATGCTAATCATACATAGACCGGTTGCAACTTACATTCTGCCAAGTTTCGTTTCTATGAAAATCTGAATAGTAAGGAGCTAACATCTGAGTTGCATTCAAGGGTACCAGTATCATGGGTATTCCTCCAGTAGAATAGATAGGGACATGACTACAAAGCCAACAATGAAAGACATTTAAATCTATCCCAATTTGATTAACAAAAGACAAGAACACATTTTCATGAAATGATCTTTGTCGGTGCGGAAGTATAGTTTGGTTTACAGAGTTTCTTATAACTGATGAGTCAAGTTTATATAAGATGGCTCAAAAAGAAATACTGAGAACTACCCAAATCACGACTAACCAACTCCACCTCGGAAACCAGGAACTAGATAGAGGCCTTTTTCCTGTCCCGAAGGGCATAGTGGTCATTGGGGCACATCCTCTTTGCTCTGTAGTGGCAAATCCTCTTTGTCAGTAAGTGCTTGGCTCACTACTGGTCTTGAGCTCTCCTGCTGGCAGGTGCTAGGCTCACTACCAGTCTGTGGAGGCTGATGCTTTCTTACTGTGTGAAGCGTGGATCCATGTCTGGAGTCCTTCACACTTTATTGCAGTGTTGGTGGTTAGGAGTACCTTTCCAGCAAGGTTCCAGCGATGACTTTCATTGATGGACTTTTATATGGACCCAGTCACCAGGCAGTATACAATGGCACGGCTCATCTGGTTCTTTGGGGAGAGCTGCCTGTACCTGTGACTGAAAAGCCTTAACACACTTCATTAGTGCTTTACAATAGCTCAGAACGGTATCATCAAGTGAATGTATGTCGCAAAAGTGGGAGGCAACAGGTGGTGAGGTGGGGAGCCTCGTGGGTCTTTGTATTAGAATTTCATGTGGGCTAAGCCCAGTCTTTTG